TCGGAGTCAGCCCGGTTATTATCAGCTGCGTAACGACACCGAGCGGATTCACGTTCACGTTTGAAAGCAGCGCTGAGTCCAGAAACCTCAGCACACAGTGTGTTCGTTAATCTGAGCCAGCATGACGAGCAAGGGAAGCGAGCGGCAGCGGAAAGCGGGGGCGGAGCGGAGATAGTGGAATTTTGGGGTAAGGGTCTACGTAGGGGGCGGGCGTATTACGTGAACGGACCCATCTGATTGGCCGCATATCAGAAGGGCTACATTTGATTGGTCAAATAATACTTCCTCGTAAAAAACAGAGCTGGTTTACAAAAAGTTGATGTATGACACGGATGGAAATGTTTGAACCAAACATTTATCGCCGTTTTTGACGTGCTTTGCGATGGGCCTATCGCACGTCCTGTTATCGCGATGACGATAATTTTTCGATATATTGTGCAGCCCTATTCAAATATAAAACAAACCCAAAACATTTAAAATTTACAGTGTGTGGGGTCCTTCAGGTCCTTTCCTCAGTCTAGTAGCGGCGGCAGTTAGCTACACAGGTGCCCGATTTTTTTTTATCTGCTTTCAAAAATAATTTTGGCCGATATAGAAAACTGTAATATATCGACCCGATATATGGGTCGGCCTCATGTCTATTGAGCGCCTTGATGTCTGTTGTCGTGGTGGTTTGTGTTTAGTGTGTGTAACCTTGGACAGGCTGTGCTGCGGAGACACATCTGTGCTTCACGATGTTGAGCAACTGACATTAAAGTTGATTCTGATTTAATCTGTCAGCACAGCAGCTCAGATGAACACAGAGCCACACTTCTGACAAAGATGTCCCAACCAGACTGGTCTGCTGCTGAAGAGATGAAACAGAACAACTGAACTATGAGGCTGAGATGTCAGAGTCCTATTTTAAAAAGCTCAATAATATGTATTACCATGTAGTACCGTGTTTCCATCTGCTAGTTATAGTTCATTATTATTTTATTGTACACATTTCTGTGGCATTAATATCACTCACTTTTCTCCAAACTAATCTAAATAGATCCACGTATGAACAGAAGAAGTTAATGTATTTCATCAACATGTTCAGTATTACGCTACTGGAAATGCTAATTAACTTCTACTGGTAACAATGTGATGGTGGCATACCTTTTTATTATGTACAGCAGTGATCCGCAGATGGGCCGCGTCCGACTTGCGAGCCCTCTCTTTGTGGCCCCCAAACCCTACGCGCACCCAATATTACTGATGTGAATATTCCAGAGATCATAATAAAACAGCATTACTAAAAGGTAAATACATTACTTTCGAAATCAGTACAAATTCTATAGAGCAGAGAGCAAGTTGCCACACTAGGGCGGAGCAAGATGAAAGAAAACGGGGTTCACCTGACGGGCTGTTTCGGCTGTGTTGTTTAGTGTTTCGGCCGAAAACAGAAAATAATTTCGGCTGAATTTTTCAGTCATCCCTACAGTCCAGGATGACTGAGAGCTACACCTCCATGCTGCAGCAGCGTTCAGTCACGACAGGAAGTGAAACTCAAACGTAGCTGCTGTCAGTAACAATCTAACAGATTTTAACATTAAAACTCAACAGAAATAGTTCAGGACGGAAATTAAACTGTTATTTATTATTATTAGTATTATTATTATTTACTGTGGCAGAAGCTGGTGTGGTCCACCACAGAGAAGCTGCTCTAGCATGATGACCTTAATTATTCTACAGGTTATTGTTCAGCCTTCTGACGCTCACACACACACACACACACACACACACACACGAGTGTTGGTGAGCGGCTGCGTCTGACTGCTGGCGCTCCGTGTGTGTTGTTATTTCTGCAGTGAGACAAACTCACCTCACACCGTCCAGAGTTTGTTCTTTAAGCTTCTATTAAATCCACCGTGTTGACGTGTTTAACACGTTTCCTCTACGCTGCAGGAGTTAGTTTACGCCACGGAGTAAAAGTTCGGAAGACGTGATTGTTTATATCTGGGTGGGGGAGGGGGGGGACTCGTGCTGCACACAGACAGCTGGGGTGATCAGCTCTGAAAAGTGTTGATCACAATTTGCAGATCACGTTTATTTTTCATGGAGATCTGCCGCGGATTCCTCTTCCCTCAGCATTCTAGGAATCGAAATTTTTTAAAAAAAACTGAACAATTCCAGGAAAAACTAAAGTTGGAACCGGTTCTAATCGACGCTCAATGCCCAGCCATAATTCTGACAAGGTCTGCAACTTGTTTACATCGGTGAACAGCAGCAGGGAAGATGTAAGCTAGCTAACATTCGTAAGCTAGCATGTAACGTTTGAAATTACGGCTCTCTAATAGGCCTTTTCCAGCCGCACAGTTTGGTATTTTCCCTCGACTTTTCAATCCCTGTTCGGTTGTCGTTCGAAGGGCTGAGCCTGACTGGCATCGCAACCGTCCGCCGCTGATTGGCTAGGTCGCTCGCTGGTTGCTCTGAAGCCTTCAGGCTGCTGCCTCGCTTCAAGTTCAGAGTCAGACAAAAGTGAGCAGAATGTTCAAGATCACCACCATTTTTGTGCCGAGTTGTGTTTCAGTGTTGCGTATAGGTCACTTCACACTTTTTACTGATTACCACATGCTAGTTTGTTTCGAATAAAGATTGCACACAACCCCGTGAATGCAGCAGCTCCCCTCGCCCCCAACTAGACTTTACCCCTCTCACAGCACCCACATTAACTAGCTTAAAGCCGGGAGAGAACCGATACTTGTCTGTATCCCAGATAGGACAGGTTTGTGAATGTCAGCTTGTGTGCTGTTTAACCATGAGTTAGAGGCTTTTCCATACAACTCTGAGTTAGCTGGTCTGAAAGTTGCAGCCTACACAGTCTATTAAAAGATGTGAAACACATTTAGAGAAGGTCAGCTTCAGCCAGTGAAAGAGTGGTCCACTTGGGGCAATCTGGTTTACAACAAGCTTCAAGATGAAGCTTAATATTTGGAAGCTAAATATTTGGCAAGGCCCCTAACTAAACACTTCAGAGAATGATAATAACCTTTGTACTCACACAGCAAGGTCAATCCGGCCTTTGAAAGAAAAAACACCCATTGACTCAACTTGACTGTTTTATTCCGATTTCAAAATCATAAATGACCCGCACTCGTGTAGCGCCTTTCAGAGTCAGAGGACTCCAACGCGCTTTACACTTCAGTGTAACATTCATCCATTCACACAAACATCAGCTATGAAGCCACAGCTGCCCTGGGGCACACTGACAGAGGCAAGACTGCCCAGCACTGGAGCCACCAGTGCCTCCCAACACCACCAGCAGGCAGGGAGGGTAAGTGTCTTGCACAAGGACACAACAGCAGAATTATCTGCCAGGAGACGGATCGACCCTACAACCTTCTGATAACTGGACAACCCGCTGCATCTCCTGAGTTACAAAACGATCAGTTGGCTAGTATAAGCATTTCATTTAGTTGCATAAGCAGTGACACTCAGAGCGGAGCAATCCAAACCACACTAGAAGAATAAAAATTGTAAAAATGTGTATTATAGATAGAAAGGCGCGCACACACACACACAATTGGGTTTTTCAAATTAAACTGCAGACAGAGTGAGTCACATCCAGTTTGTGGCCTGAAGAAGCAACAAGCTCGTGTGTGTTTGGAGTAGAGTGTTGCAGACATTGTGCATTTGCATCCATCAGAGTGGGGGGGCACACGGGGCTTGTGTGGACTTCTGTGCAACACCACACTAAGCTACTTAAAGCGAAACCTAGAAATCACACACGGGTGTGTGTGTGTGTGTGTGTGTGTGTGTAGCCAGACTCGTGTTATCCTTACTGGCACAGGTGTGTTACATAACGGTGGAACAGAAGCATTTAGCCGTTTTTGTTTGTGGTAAATAAAACAGATGCAGGAGTAATCCACCCCGTGTCATCGTACAATGAAACCAGAGCTGATCTCTAGAGCCGCTCATTCATCACACCGCCACCCAAACGGGTGGGGGGTTGGGGAGGTGAAAATATCTAGTCACTAACCTGCAGTTCTGGGTTCACACGCACACGCCGCATCACACGCAAGGCCAAATGGAAAAGGTGAATAATAAACAGCACAGATGATCAGGGATGTTGTTGCAAACAACTGCATTACCGTAATGTTGTCAAATACCAGATTAACACCATTAGCATTATGGATGCCTGTGGAAAACAGACCATTATGAAACCCTCACAAAGATGGTGAGAACTTGCATCAAATTACACAAACATCCAGGAGCCGAGAGCTAGGCTAGCTGTGCTCGGCTAGCTAACCAACTAAAGTACAAGATCCGACCCTGAAACCAATCCTATTCAAAAACGTTGGCAAAGGCTTTCAACCCAACACTCTGCTGTCGCTAAACGCAACAATAACACCAAACTAACCGTTTTAGTCTGCATTTCTGCCGCGTCAGCCTTTCCTAAACATCCGACCATCACATTTCCAGATCACTGCCAGAACGTTAAGGAACTAGCCAAGGGAAGGTGTTCAGCGCTGCATTAATGGTGTTTAATAGTGCGCTACACGTCCGACTCAACATTACGGAAACGATTAGAAAAACACGAGGCTCCTTTCGTCTCCCGTTCAGATACAACCAGAGCGATAAATGGAAGCTGCGTATCTGTGGCCATCGGAGACAAGTTGTTCTCAACGTCATCAAAACACTAAACGGAAACTCTTTCACTAAGACATCACTACTCCAAACCAATCTAGCTAAGAGAATTAGCTCGTGGCAGCTTACAATAACACAGGTTATTAACCCGAGTGTGCATCGCTGGAGCTACCAAAAACAACAGGGGCTGGTCAGAAAGCTCCGGAGGGGGTTCCGGACACCCTAAAGACGGAACATGGCACGAAACTAACTTGTTAGGATACACTTGAAGACACTGAAATGCTCCCGCTAGGTTGTTAGCTCCATGGCTAAGATGAAAACATGGTGGCATTTTGTCGCGAGCACATTCATATGAGCATTGCTAATAACACACACTTAGTACCCACCTACAGAGGCATTCCAAGCTCGTGCAAACGACACAAAACCATTTATAAACTTCAGTCCTTGGAGTACTCCATTATCTTCTCCGTGTGGCCCAGCAGGCCCGTTCATCCACCTCGGACTCCCCTGTGTCCGATGCCCTTACAAGTAGACACCTCTCCAAGAGGAAGAAAAAAAGTTCCCAGTATTTCACCCAAAATGTCGGAAAGTTAATTTCCCTGTCCTGTGCGGGTGTATTACATCCATTGAATCATTAAAGTAAATCCCTGGTGAACAACTCCAGTCACGTCAGTGTCTTCTATATTTACAGTCACTGTTTATTATGGGGTACACACTTCTAAACGTGAGCCTGGGCTCCGGATTCTGTCTTGGGTCCTTACAATCACGATGGCTCCCATCCCCCTCCACGCCGGCTGCGAGCACAGGCCCCGACGCAACTGACACACAATCACAATACGGGGTTTCCCTGACGACCGTGCAGGGGCGCTGTTCGTGGGCGGACCTCACCAAGGTTCCCGGACCCTCTCGTTGATTGGACAGCTCATGTGTCAATCATTTTTTATAGACCAACCATTTAGGTTATTGGAGTTGATACTTTGTACGTGCTACGTAATTACGTAATCCAGGCTGAAACTTTTAAACAACGCTATTTTTTCCCGTAAATCCTACAACAGTCTATTATTTGTCACGTTTCCTTTGCAGGTGAAAAAGCAGAAGAATTGTAGCGTTTACCCAGGGAAAGTGTGGTCTTTCGTGAGGGAACCCTGGGGTTTGTCCTGCAGGAGGTGGGCTGGGGACATCACTGATCAGACAGAGCTAAGGGGATACAAAGGGAAGTCCTTTAGGTGGCTTCTGCAGAACAACACTACACTTACCTCATCAAAGGTTCCCACAAGGAGGGAGCATCTGGAACCTTTCTGACACCGGGCCATGGTAAAGGCAGTCTGCTGACTATTGTCAAGTACGTCTTTAGTTTTGAAGAGACCCAGTCCATCCTCAGCTGTGAAGGAAATGGAGCAGGTGCTTCAACAGCTTCTTCTGAAGATGACCAGCTGGTTGGTTTTGGATCTCAAGCCAAGAGCACGAGGAAGGAAGCCTGGAACTCTGAGCAGATGGTTGGGCTGATTGGTCTTCCTGGGACAAAAATAATGAAGCTGCAGCAGTTCTTGCTTCATAAACAGCAGTCTGCATCTTGTCCTCCACCTGCAGAGCTGGCTGGTTCAAGGGGTCTGGGGTTCGAAACCCTACCAGGCCACAGCATGGTCCGGAGAGTTAGCTCTAGGAGCATGAGTCTGGCCTTGAGCCTTGGGCTCAGTAAGTTCAGGGGTCAAATCCCACTCTGGAAAATGTTTTATTTACATTTTTTCAGTGTTTGTCAACAACTGATATTGGCTCTTGTTTGTTTTCTTCCCAGTCACAGCTTCATATCATCTTTGTACTTTGTGACAGCTGTGGTGTTTCTTTCAGATTCATTCTTTAACGACTACCTTGTTTGCTGCGCTGCCACAGGTATTGCATTGACACTTGTTTTATGTGGACTTTCACACACAGAACGCTTCATTCCGGTTGTGATAATCGCACCTCCTCCTTGGAGCACATCCTGTTGCTGAACCTGACCAACTGCAGCAAGCCCAGATCATGGCACTGCCCCCACAGGCGTGTACAGTAGGCACAGGGCATGATGGGTGCATCACTTCATCTGCCTCTCTTCTTACCCTGATGCACCATCACTCTGGACCAGGGTCCACCTGGACTCATCAGACCAGTTTGAATAATGCGTTGGACAGCTCTGACCCCAGTTTGAATCGTTGCTGCGTCTCCTTAGATGTTTTCTCTGCTTGATGCCGATGATCTGACCCTTCTCACACGACTAACACGACTTTTCCAGCACCAGATGTGTCGTTCCACCTGGTTGTTTATTAAATGAGCAGCAGCTCGTTGCACCAGTTGGGTTAAATAACTTGTTGCAGCTGAACGATGTTCGCCCTGCAGTAATTGTCCAATAGGAGGCTCCTTCATGTTTGCTTAGTTAGATCCAGGTGGAGACAATGTTGCTGGGCAGTGTGTATGGCCTCCATTATGTTTGAATATGTGTTTAAATCTTATTTACTGTTGCTGAAGGGGGTGTCCACTGAGATGAAGTTGAGTGGTTTGATTCCAGAAGGTCAGGTGTTGAAGTGTCCTTGAGCAGAACCCAGAACGTTTCTCTCTGAGCGCTGTGCTAACAGCCCCTCGCTGCCCTTCTGGGGCGGTCAGATACCAAATAGAAATCATTTCCCCAATTGGATCCATAAATATCAGTTGTTATTATTATTTTCCAGACTCACAGGGAACAGCACGTTTAAAATGGGTTTCAGCTCCGTGTAGCATGCATGGTTCAACAGGAGTTACTCAGGCCGGTGGCGGAGAAGCCCACGTGTTTGTGTGAAAGATAAATACACATCAGGAAGTTTAACATCAGGGTATGGTGTTATAAGCCATTTATTATACTTATTGCTGTAGATAGACAATACTTACCAACTTACAGATAGTCATAACTCTTAAAATGTACGGTGCCTTGAAAACTGTCCACGCAACATAAACACTCAATGATTTAGCTGAAGCTTGGAGAGATAGTCACAGCCACTAGCAAGGTCAAGCGAGGCTGCTTGATTTGTATGATGGGCCGTTTCGTGTATTAGCCGCCAGTAAAGGCATTTAAACCCAGCAGTTATGGCATCGGGCTCCATGTTAATCACCGGCTCAAAGCCTTCAACATGAATACGTGAAAGCTCATTAGTTTTTTCATAATACTCATTTCACTGTAACCAGTTTAAGATGGTCAGAAAAAGCTCGGCTGTAAAACGAAGAGTGTTTAAGGCTCGGTTGAACAGCAAAATGTGCTGAACCAGCACAAATTAGTGGCCAGAATATTCTATTAGAGCCAAAAGGATCTTTTAAGTTATATTTTGTGGCAATCTGTTTTATATTATGTTTTTGTCATTCTTAGCTAATCAGTTTAAGTTAGTATTGTTTTGAAGTAAAGACTTTTATTTTGAAAGTATCACCATTCCTCCATCATTTCATTAGATATATTTTCAAAGCTCCTCCCTGCCAACAGTCGAGGCCGCCCAAAGTGCGGTACATAATAAAATCATAGATGATACACAGTAGAATTAGAAATACGACCACGCTGGAAGAGACTCGTAAAAAACAATAGAACAAAACATAACATGACTCCTAAAAACAATACAGCATCGCAACATATAACCCAAAAATAGCAGTAAAACTAAATAAGACCAGTAAAGCAACAAAAAAGCTAAACAGACCTGAACTGCTGCTCTACAACTCCAGACAGTAGAGGACTGGCTGTGTGCAGTAAAGGCTCGCTCCCCTCCAGACGTTACTGTTAGACCTATGCTCTACCCGCTGATCCTAATCAGCAGAGTGCAGGGGTTGGTAGGTCTGAGGGTGCCTCCTGTGTTGTGTGGGTGTGCCCGAGAGTGGTCCCAGCTCCGACTGGTTACCCATCACCTGCCAGCGGATTTAAGGAGCAGTGAGACTCTTAATGCCAGATTCACAACTCACGTTTGGGTAGCTCTTGCTGCATTGTTTTGTTTTTTCTGTAATGTTTGTATTTCTAGAGACCTTTGAACACCTTTTTTTCCTCGACTATTTTTGGTGCCATAGTATCTATGGAAGATTGTAGTATTAAACATGTTCCAGTTGCTCCCCACACACCTCCTCCCTCTCCCCTGGCCGCCTGCTCTCCCTTGGATCATCAGTCTTCCCTCCTGGCTCTTCTGGACCTCCTGGATTTCCACGGCCACTCAGACCAGACATCCACCCCCCAGAACCTCTTGCCTTGTACAAATCGATTCAGATGGACTTTCAACAGAGACACTTCCCTGTTTTACACAGGGTTCCTGGACAACCCCGCCCTCCTTTTGGAGCAGCACCTTTAATCTCCTTAAATAAAATCGTTTATTTATTCCCATACCTTGTGGCTCATGTGTGATTCTGCACGTCATGGGTCAGAAGGCTACCCCCACCCTCAATGACAAAGATACGGTGGAGGTGTTCCAGCAAGTGCCAAGACAATTAAACTAGGACTTTCATTGCTATGCTGTGCTGCACAGGCAACCACTGCAGAACATCCAGGATGGACATTCAATTCAATGCAATTCAAAAGTACTTTATTAATCCCAGAGGGAAACTGATTGCTGTAGTAGCTCAGAATAATAATAATAATCAAGTCATCAAAGAGGTGTTGTATATTACAATGGCTGTTGGCAGGAAGGATCTCCAGTAGCGGTCAGTGTTGCAGCCAAACTGAAGAAGCCTCTGACTGAAGACACTCTTCCGTTGTCGGTCAGTCTTGTGAAGAGAATGCTCAGGGTTGTCCATCATGTTCTTGATTCTCTGGAGAATCCTTCTTTGCATGATCTCCTCCAGCGGTTCCACAGTCGTCCCCAGAACAGAACCAGCCTTTTTTATTAGGCTGTTGAGCCTTTTCAGGTCCCTGCTTCTGATGCTGCTACCCCAACAGACGATGGCTGAAGAGATTACACTCTCAACAACAGACTTGTAGAAGATCTGCAGCATCTTGCTACAGACACTGAAGGACCTAAGCGTCCTCAAGATGTGCAGTCTGCTGTGTCCCTTCTTGTAAACGGCTTCACTGTTCTTTCTCCAGTCCAGTCTGCTGTCCAGGTGAACTCCAAGGTGTTTGTGTTCCTCAACCACTTCTTCTCCCATGATGGAAACAGTGTTTGACTCCACCCTGTTTCTTCTGAAGTCTAAAATCATCTCCTTTGTTTTGTTCACCTTCAAGGTCAGATGATTGTTTCCACACCATGCCACAAAGCGTATGTGCTCCCACCTTTTTACCATGTGGATGAACCTGGCAGCAGCATTTTGCACCATCTACAACCTAGCCTGAGTCATTCTGGCATACAGGGAGCTGCAATAATCCAGCCGTGACGGCCACTAACGCACACGTTAGTCCTTAAATCTTCTCTGGAGGTCATTGACTTGATTTTTAGACAGGCGGCAAAGCTGAAAGAAGCAGGATCTCATCACTGTGTTCACTTGGGAATCAAATGACAAATCAGAATCCAGTTTCACACCCAGGTCAGTGAATCATTTGGTCAAAGGGGCCCAGTGACATGAAGTTCACCCCACAAGGCTGGCCGTCAGCACGAGTATGAAGTATGACCAGAAGAGAGTACCGGTGTGCTGGGTGAAGGAAACACGGATTAGTATCGTTTTTGACTGTTTTGCTGTGTCTTCTGTTGGAATAACAGAAATCAGACAAAAATTTGAAGAGAAGTTAGTTTTTTCATATTTTTGTATTTTCTCTAGATAAAATCTTGTTGTAAAAATTCACGGTTTTGCATGCGTCCTTCACTTATTTAAGTACAAGACATGTTTACCACACTCCTTTCCTTCTGTCAGAGGTGGGAAGTGAAACTTCTGACAGGAGACTCTGCCAGACGTTCCCAGCAGACCCTCACAATACATTTGGGCTTGCCAGGTCTGACTTCATCCTCCCCCACCATCGGAGCCAACTCACCACCAGGTAGTGATCAGTTGACAGCTCCGCCCCTCTCTTCACCCGAGTGTCCAAGACCTGCGGCCGCAGGTCAGATGAAACAGCAACAAAGTCGGTCATCGAGCTGCAGCCTAAGGTATCCTGGTGCCAAGAGCACATGTGGACACCTTTATGTCTGAACATGGTGTTCATTATGGACCATCCATGACTGGCACAGACGTCCAATAACAAAACGCTGCTCAAATTCAGATCAGTGGGCCACTCCTCCCCACCACACCTCTCCAGGTCTCCAGGTCTCGCTGTCGTTGCCCTCGTAAGTGTTTCACAGCAGAATGAGGGAGTCACTGGAAGGAGCGCTCTCCAACGCCTCCACGAAGGTCTCCAAAAGGGGTGGGTAGTCTGAGGTGTAGTTTGGTGCATAAGCACAGATCACAGTCAGAACCCGTCCCCCACACACAGGCGGAGGGAGGCTACCCTCCCGTTCACCAGGGAAAACCCCAACATACAGGCACCAAGATGGGGGGCAACTAATATGCCCACCCTTGCTCAGCACCTCCAAACTGGTAGTGTCCAGCCCCCCTCAGAAACTTTTCCAGAGCCATTGACGTGAGCCCGACTTTATCTAATGGGAACCTTTCAACCTCGCACAACAACTCAGGCTTCTTCCCCACCAGTGAGGTGACATTCCACGTACCGAGAGCCAGCTTCTGTAGCCGAGGATCAGACCACCAAGGTTTCTGCCTTCAGCTACCACCCATCACACATTGCACCCATGCCCATGGGAAAGAGGACCCATGTTTCCTCTTTGGGCTGAGCCAGGCTGGGCTCCATGGATGAATGCTAGGCCACCAGGAGCTCGCCGACGTGACTCACCTCCAGGCCTGGCTCCAGTGACCTACGTCCGGGTGAGGGAACACTGTTTCCATTTGTATTGTACATGATGAGGGGCACTTTGTGTGTGTGTGTGTGTGTGTGTGTGCGTGAGTGCGTGCGTGCGTGTGTGTGTGTGTGTCTTCTCCATCCCCAGTGAGTCGTGGAGGATGGCTGCTTATACTGAGCCAGGATTCTCTGGAGGTTTCTTCCTGTTAAAAGGGAGTTTTCCTCTCCACTGTCGCTGCATGCTTGCTTAGTATGAGGATTGCTGTAAAGTCACTGACACTAGTCAGTGACTTGATGCAACCTGCTGGGTTCCTTATATAGGAAACATTATTTCTGATTGGCTTAATGAACTGACCTGAATTGGAATGTTTATTATGTGAAGTGCCTTGAGACGACTCGTCGTGATTTGGCGCTACATAAATAAACTTGAATTGAATTGATCCCTCACCTAGGGCCTGTTTGCCATGGGTGACCCTACCAGAGGCATAAAACCTCAGACAACTTAGCTCCTAGGATCACTGGACACTCAAACCCCTCCACCACGGAGTCAGCCCACGGAGGTTCTTTGGAGCAAAACTAGACCTCAGTAAGATTCCTTAACGAAGTCCTACTTCATCCATTTGACTTAAACAGCATACTGATTAAGAGGCTGAATTTGGTCACAAGTAATGATGCAGAGCGATGTCAGTTATGATTTTGCTCCACATATTATGAACAAGATGACAAAACAGGCCGGCTCATCATTTGCGTCACCAAGCAGCTTCACTTATTATCCCTCAGATAACAGAGTACATCCAGTACATGCTACCAATAGTAAAACAGCTTTGTACTGGTTTTAATCCCCTTTGAATACACCTGCCCTTACTGAAATGAGTTTGTTTCTAGATAGCCTCAGTTTCCCCGTTAGAAACTCAGGCTGCTAAAGAACGTGAGTCACCATTAACTGTAGAAAAATTATTGCTTCTAGGAACTGCATACAGAATAAAAAATCTCCTGGTCGGGATGATGTTCCTGTTGAATTTAAAATATATGTAAATCAGGATGAACTACCTCTTACTACATGGTGTATATAAGGAATGGTTGCAGCATGGCACTCTGCCCTCTACTTCAGCACAAGCATCAGTAAGTCTTCTCTTTAAAAACGATAGGGATCCAAGTCTTTCTATTGAACTGTTGTTAAATAAACGTGGGTGCATCGATCCTTAGCATGGTACCTGGGAAATATAGTACCAGCTATTTTTTCACAGCAGCAAACTGTTTTTTAAGGGAAGGCACTGATTTTATAATCTCCACACACCCTTAAACGTCATTTATTCTAAAACAACATGGCGAGCCCTGAAGTAGTTCAGTTCAAGTCAAGTTTATTTATAAAGCACCAAATCACAACAAGAGTCGTCTCAAGGACCTTCACACAGTAAACAATCCAACACAGGCCAGTTCATTAAGCCAATCAGTAAAAAGTTTCCTATATAAGGAACCCAGCAGGTTGCATCGAGTCACTGACTAGTGAGCTTTTCAGGTTCGCTCAACCTTTTTTTACGGCAGAGGCCAAAAACGATCTCATAACACACTAATTTTCTGCTTCCTGATCATGTGATTTGTGATGTACGTGGATGAAGATTGGCTTTAGAGCTGGGATCTTTGTTCTCACGGAGCGGGGGCTCGTTGTGATACCCACACAGTAAAAAAATGCAAGAACTGCTCGATTATAAATGACAACTTTTGTCGTCAATGGCAGTTAACAAGTTCATAATCAAGTGATCTGATTGTTCCATACGTTCCTAACCGAGCACTTCGCTCTCAGACTGCAGGTCTACTGGTGGTTCCCAGAATATCTAAAATTAGGATGGAAGGCAGATCTTTTAGTTATCAGGCTCCTCTCCTGTGGAACCAGCTCCCAGCTTTAGTCCGTGAGGCAGACACCTTGTCTACTTTTAAGACTAGGCTTAAAACATTTTTATTTGATAGGGCCTATGGTTAAAATCTGATGTTAGCCTAAATCTGGACAAGTGGGGGAGTAGAGGGAGGTGGAGTGTACAGTCGGTAAAGACGGCTCTCCCTTGCCCTGCTTCCAACATGCCTCCATCTAAATAGGATAGATTATCCAGAGTTATCTCTGTAGTTATGCTGCTATAGGCTTAGACTGCTGGAGGACACACTGACCACTTTTCACACTCTTCTGCTTTCTTCTACAATCTGCTCTTTAACTGTATTATTTCCTGCTATTTCAGCTGTTAACTTTATTTTCTCTTTAAGTGTTTTTCTCCCCAGAAGAAGCTACAATGATGTTCTGCTGAGCTGTGGTGGCCTCATGGAGGGGGCCATCGTCTAGCACACTGCTGCTAACCACTAAAACATTCTCTCTCTCCTGATAACTTTTTACTTTCCTTGATGTTGGATGTGCTACTACTAGCTTATCCGTTTAATTATAGATCCACTAGGATAAATACAATAAAGTTTATCTCTCACCAAATAGAATATTTACTAAGAAATCACAATATAACTATAGACACATTAGTGTGTGTGTGTGTGTGTGTGTGTGCTCTGTCTTCTCGATGCCCAGTGAGCCGTGGAGGATGGCTGCTTATACTGAGCCAGGATCCTCTGGAGGTTTCTTACTGTTAAAAGGGAGTTTTCCTCTCCACTGTCGCTGCATGCTTGCTTAGTATGAGGATTGCTGTATAGTCACTGACACTAGTCAGTGACTTGATGCAACCTGCTGGGTTCCTTATATAGGAAACATTATTTCTGATTGGCTTAATGAACTGACCTGAATTGGAATGTTTATTATGTGAAGGTCCTTGAGACGACTCGTGATTTGGCGCTATATAAATAAACCTGAATTGAATAGAAAAGATAGGAAATGTTAGAGGGAAAATAATTGGCACAATGAACTAGATTCAATAGGAATGTTTATTTTGTTGTGAATTGGCACTTTTTCTATAAAGTGAAATTTTGACTCCTAAAGCCCGAGGAACACTCCCAACCATCCGTTTGCTGTGGACTTTAACCCTCACCACAGCACTCTGTTCTATTCCTGCACTGGTTAGGAGAACAGAGTACTGTGTTACTGTATATTGTTCTGTCTGCATTTACTGGAGATGACTTCACCTTTGACTGGCATAAATTACTGTGGATGTTTTTCTGCTCAACATGACTCCTTAAACCCAAACCAGGTGTGTGTAACTGACGTTGCCCCATCTTCTTTACAGATACTCATCCCCTCGCTCCACGCTTCAGCCCAAGTTGAGTCAAAGTCTTTAACATCATATTAACTGTACATAATCGCGCATTACTGTATTTGGGTAGTCATTAGGCATAACCCATCCCAGCCCAATCTTTGTTTTACCAGGGCACAGCCGACACCTACAGATGGAAAATAAAACTGAACTATTGTGCATACCACTGTTGTAGAGGTAAGGCAGGCCAGGACACACAGGTGACTCACCCCCCTACAGTCGCAGGTCTCTCCTGAGAGTGACGCAGCAGCTCACCCTAACCTTGTCACACCTGGACTGGTTTTGGGTCGCTTCATCGCTGCAGCTGGGTGGAGGAACTCTAGCCAACAGGACACACTCCACAATGTCTAGTGATGCAGGGACGCTTTATTTCCCTCCAGTCTGAAGCACTTACACAAAGGAACATGAACGTTACACAACAGGAGTTTAGATTTCAAACTAGCTTTAGGTAATATTTCATATCACAGATGGTTATTTACAGTAAAATGTGACTGTAGGAGCTAAACAACGGCCCCTGGTGGGACAGGAGTCGGGAGAAGTGGTTCAGAATGACAAACAGGTCTGGTTTCCTACACGTATCCCAACAATGTTCTGTTCCCATCTTGGGAGGGACTCAGCAGATGAAGCAGGATGAACAACGGGTATGCACAAAGCGTGATGGAGTCCTCAGGTCAGGGGTTTTTGAACAGCAGCATGCAGACGCATCACTAAAGCTCTGAAGAAGTGATCATCACCCTCGGTACGATGCAGACGTTCTGCACTCAGCTGGTCAAGCAGCTCAGACGAGAAGAAAAGGAAACCAGTGCTGAGTTCTGGCTCGGTTCACTCCTGCTATGTTGGTTTTACACCGCTCTCTACTGGTCCTCTCTGCCATAAAGGCTGGCACCCATCAGAGCAGCTTCAGACTACCGGTGACGTTGTTCACCATCTCCTCTTCTCCCATGATGGCCAGGACGGTGCGGGACCCCGCCTCCACCTGCAGGAAACCAGGTGGGCGTGTTCCCATGGAGTTTCCCTCAGAACAACAACCAGGGCCTCATTTAGAACGCTTGCTTACGCACCGACGGGGTCTGACGCGTCAGCCTGAGGAAGTCTGCAGCCGCTAACGAAACGCAGCGGGACAACGGCTAACAAAACTGTTCTGTGTTTAAAAAAAGAACTAGAGCACGGGGTTAGTGGTGTCCACCGATCGCTCCGAGGTCAGATAATGACTTGGTGCAGGTCATTTGGTTTGCTGGGCTCGAGGGGAGTTTCAGTAACCCCCAAATTCCACTACCTCCGCTCCGCTCCGGCACGAACTCCGGAGCAAAATCGGTCCCGTTCTAGTCAATCAGAGCAATTCCACTACTGCGGCCGTGCTCCGGCAGTGCGGCGCCGTGCGCCGCCCTCTGTTCCGGCGTCCGGCAGAAATAGAATCGATCCTATTTTTGCCGGACGCCGGAGCACCTCCGCAGTAAATGGACAGAAATCACAACGGCCCAACAGGAAAAGGAGCAAGCACAACTTCCGTTTTTCACAATAAATCGATAAACAAAAGGCGTTTTTGTTTCATATACACAGGTTTAACAACCTTTAACAACTATCAATGGCGGCCGAAGTTTAAATGCACAAAAGTAAGCCATAAATACAGTTTCTACTATCAAAGTAGTCACACTTTGTTGATCCAAACACTGCTGATCTCTCAACACAAATGATGGGCAGATTAGACAGCTCATGCCGATGCTTCTCCCACACAACGGGTGTTTGGATCTAACTTCCGCGTTTATTGCTCGGACTGTATCGCAAGATCTCGAAAATCCCGCGCATGCCTGTTTGCGCACCTCAGGTCTCCGCACCGGAGCGGAGCCGTTGTAGAGCGGGTACCGGTAAAAATTGAGTTCGGAAGCGAGCGGCTGCGGAAGGCGGGGGCGGAGCGGAGGTAGTGGAATTTGGGGGTTAGGACTCTACAGAAAGCTTCATAAATGAGGCCCCAGAAAAGAAATCCTCACTAAACAAACATGCACCCACCTGAGTGAGCCCTGCATCCTGGACCAGGTACGTGGGCAGGTTGAGGCTCATGGCCAGGGCCTGCAGCTCCAGCAGATGGGCCACGTTGGTGCCTTGGACAACCACCTTCTTAGCTCTGCATCAACAGCACACTCGCTTCTTAACATTTTTACAGAGACTCAGAAAGGTTCTTCTAAACAAACGGCAGCAGCTCTGGAGAACAGAGTGAAGGTGAAGCTCAGACGCGCGGTGGACTTCCTTACCCACTTTTATCCCAATTCCAGGCAGCCTCCCTCCAGCTGGGTTTTCCCTGCAGAGCCTGGTACAGTCCCACAGCAGCGTGGGCCACCTGAGCTGCCACCTGCACACCCAAAACCACACACAGCAGCTGATACCTGGAACCGACCCACCCCCCCAACAGAAAAACTGCTCCACAGTAAGAGATGATGCTGTTTTTGCAGAAGCTCTCATTAAACGGTTCCCCGTGCTTTACTGACTCTTCTGCTGCATCATTTACAACATGTCTGATATGCACACACTGAGTTTCTACGCCCCGTGAGGCAGAAAATATCAAAGCAGTTAGATGTTCACCTCAGCGTGTCGCGAGGCAGGAAACTCAGTGAAAGTCAGGCGCACGGCGAGGCCGGCTGCTCAGCTGTTAGCGCTCGTGTGCCGCAGGCTTTAGAGCCGACTAGACTAGAACATCTCACATGTTCTACCCTGGATTTACCTTTCCAACGCCCATGGCCAGGTCCATGTTCACTACAAACACCATCTTGAACATGAGATCATCGTCAGCCTCCTCCTGTGTGTCACAGCAAGCACACAGACAGACACTAAGATTTGGCTTTGGACCAGCTGAACTGGGACTGACGTACCAACGTGTACCTGTGGAGGACTAATGCTATCTTATGGCACCTCATTCTCCAGTTTGTTGAAGTAGTACATGGCTGCTTCCTCAGCAGAGACATTCTGGGTGTGCAGGAGTGCCTGAGAAGAAGACAAGCAAAGGAAGAGCTCAGTCGGGTACGTAGGACAGCTTACATCCATCGTGTTGACGGTAAACCATGAAAGTCTGGCAGAAAGCTTCTCTCTGAAGAGTCTAGAACCGTGCTAGTCTTTAGTCCTCCTCCTGACAGGAAACTGATAAACAAGGATCTCAGGTAGAGGACTGTCAGATCTGTACCCACTAGCTGGTTTTACTGAAGTAAATCCACTTCAGTACCACATTCTACATTTTTATAGTTCTACTGTTGGAACTATGGACATTCATCAGTACTGATTAATGAAGATATTCATGATTTTGCACATCATCACCATCTTCCTGAGCTGGTTGGTACTGGGCACGGGGAGAAGCAGCCCCAGCCCCCGGTGCTTCAGCTAACTACCCATAATCCCGCACTGCATCGACGCTCGCCTCCGCTGGAAACCACATCAGTCCGTTTCACTTTAAAGTGATGGGGCCGCCGGAGGCTGCAGCACCTTCCTAACCCCCCTAAGAAGGGTTGAAGAACATGTCCCACCTGTTTGGCTGCATCTTCAGGGATGTCAAGTTCTCGTAGCTGTTGCAGGAAAAGTGGATTTACATCCTCAGAGGCTGACTGTGTCCCCGACTCATCTGAGGCCTCCATAACAGACTGCAGTGGAAAGACAGAACATGGTAAACGTTCTCACAGAGACTAGGACCAAAGAGCTCACAAACACAGCGACAGGCCAGGGGACTGGTGTCCTGCCAGGACTGAACCACCAACCTCCTGATCAGCAGGTGACTACAGCTGCCTCAAACCCAAATCTCTAACTCACGAGTGTTCTGGGCTGATGGTGGCCCAGAAACACGGATGGTTGTGCGGGAGGGTGACCTTTGATAGAGAACCGGTGCCGTAGGAAAGCTGGAGTTCCTGGTCCGAATGAAGGCTGGTCATTTTCATCAGATGATGTCACATCCTCTTGTTCCTTACATCCCTCATGAAGATCCAGCAGGATGCAACGTCAAGGTTTCTTACCAGTTTCTGAGTCAAACGTGGGTGCAATGAGACCACGCACGCGCTTCCCGGAAGCCATGCATCACAGAGCAGTCCAGCAGGGAGGGCTGGGTCGCGTGTTTCCTGTCCTACTGGTATTCGGGTCTTCCGAGCCCCGCAACAGCAACGTTTCAGGTGACTGGGTTTGGGACTTGGGAGCTGACCTGAGCTTCCGGTGACTAGAAGTTCCTTTCTCCTACCCCGTAAACCGTCATACCCGTTGTTCATGAGCATGTGCGCGCATGCGCACAACAAAAAAGGAAATGCTACTCCGTTGTCATATTTGCAGGAAAATAGATAAGTAGCAAGTAATAGTACGTTTTACTGACGTTGATACTTGATTTTTTCGGTTAGGGTTTGTCATGTAAAACACCGTAAAATCAGCCTACGGGTAGGACGTTTTCTCAGAACATCTGCACTAAGAGCTAAAGCGGAACCCGTGTTCGGACGTTCATTTGTAAACAAGCTGAAGTTCGTCACTGTCCGTCCGCCATCTTGGCTCTACCACCAGAATGCGCAGCCTGACGTGTCATTGTTACAGACAGAAGGACTCCAGCGTGACCAAACGAGCTTTTAAACCACACCTGTACGAACCCCGGCTGCTGCTTCCAGCACCTTAGTGTCAGGTTACCTGTGCGCGTGGGTAGTGTGACGTTATCCGTTCTTCGCTCCGAGCCAAACACAAGCAAAGATGCGTTTTTTCACGATCTAATGAAACAAAATTAGCTTCTGAAAACCGAGTGGGCTTAACTAAGTGATATGGCCGTTTTCAGCGGCGTCTGACTCCTCGTTGTTGGTCCTTCTGTCCTTCTTTTACAAATGTGGCAGTGCTGAACACACGGGGGTGATAGCGCCCCCTGTAGGACCGACTGTTTGATGTTTTGTCTTTCTTTCGTGTACGATTTTAAGCCACTTCTAGGTGCTTTACCGCCCCCTGCTGGAGGGTGCACGGTATTACATGCTAAACAAAACCCTAAGTTAGTTTCTGATTCACTTTTTAAAAGTGAATCCAAATTTTGGGGGTTTCAAAAGAGACGAATTTATTTTGTAAGTCACTTAAAAAATACACAAGTTAAATGTTACAAATCTACTAAATTAATTCTGTTTTATTAAATTAGTGCCTTTTTCTTCTTTTTTTGCCTTTTTTTGTTTGCCTTTTTCCAGTTCTTCAAGCTTGATGTTTTTTCTTCTTTCTTTTGTTACTCCTTTTTACAATTACACAGTGGCATTGTGATACTTACAATCTGTCATTTGTAGTTTTGTAAAAAAAAAGAAAAAGAAAAACAAATATGTATGTATGTGTGTTCATTTATGGAAATTTGTATGAATGGATTGTTCAATAAAAGAAGAAAAAAAGTTAGCTTCTGTTTCACTAAGGTCCAGCTGTAGGTTGCAGCATACTTGGAGAAGACCAGTAAAACATGTTCCACCATCTCCACCTGCGCTGGCAATAACGATCACTGATTCTGGGATAGGAGCAAGTAAATGAGATGATAATGTGATAGATAAAAACACTTATGATTAAGATTCAGCGTTATTGCCATTACACACGTACGAGAACTGGTAACAAACAACAGTTTGCATCTTATCCAAGTGTGAGACTAGCAAGTGCATTAAGAGCAGTTATAAGCAAGTTCAGCTTTTAAAGGACTTTTAATGTTTATGTTTATATGTTTAGCAGACGCTTTTGTCCAAAGCGACTTACAAGTGATAATCGGCATGTTGCCCTTGAGGCTAACAACAACAATAACAACAACTACTTGACATCAGTCATGGAGAGTAGGGAACAAGGAGTGGACAGTAGAGAGGGGGGACGGGTGCAGGGAGGGTGCTAGTTTAGAAGATGCTCTCTGAAGAGCAGGGTCTTCAGGAGTTTCTTGAAAATTGAAAAGGAAGCCACAGTTCTGGTAGTGTTAGGAAGGTCATTCCACATTTGTGGAATGATGCATGAGAAGAGTCTGGATTGTCCTGAGCGTGGTGTAGGCACTGCTAGCCGACGATCCTGTGATGACTGGAGCGGCCGGGCCGAGACGTAACCCTTTGCAAGAGGATTCAGGTAGATGGGAGCCGTACCATCTCGGACTTTGTATGCTAGTGTCAGCAATTTGAATTTGATGCGTGCTGCTAGCGGTAGCCAGTGGAGCTCAATGAACAGAGGAGTGACGTGTGCTCTTTTTGGCTGATTGAAGACCAGACGCGCCGCTGCGTTCTGGACCATTTGAAGAGGTCTCACAGTACAGCCTGGAAGACCAGTTAGAAGGGCATTGCAGTAATCGAGGCGGGAGATGACAGTAGGTTGCACCAGGAGCTGGGTGGCATGTTGTGTTAGGTATGGTCTGATCTTTCGTATGTTGTACAGCGCAAAGCGGCATGAACGAGCATCTTTAAAGGTCAGGTGTTTATCAATCCCAACACTCAGATTTCGAACTGCCTTTGAAGGAGCCAGAGATAGGAAGTCATTTCGGATTGAGATAGTGTGCTGTATGGATGGTTTTGCTGGGATGACAAGTAGGTCAGTTTTAGAGAGGTTGAGTTGGAGATGGTGGGATTTCATCCATTTTGATATGTCAGAGAGACAGTTTGATATTCGTGCAGAGACAGTGTGGTCGTCCGGTGGAAATGACAGATAGAGCTGGGTGTCGTCTGCATAGCAGTGGTAGGAGAAGCCATGTGATCGAATGATCTCACCCAGTGAGGTGGTGTATATGGCAAAGAGAAGAGGTCCTAGTACTGAGCCCTGGGGGACTCCTGTGGCAAGATAGTGCACGGTAGAGGATTGTCCAAGCCAAGATACACTGAATGATCGTCCTGTGAGGTACGATTCAAACCAGGCGTGTGCTTTCTCTGTGATGCCCATGCTAGAGAGTGTGGACAAAAGGAAGCCATGGTTGACAGCGTCAAATGCAGCCGACAAGTCGAGGAGGATAAGCACTGAGGATTTACCTGTCGCTCTAGCTTCTTTTAAGGATTCCGTCACTGCTAACAGAGCAGTTTCAGTGGAGTGGCCCTTTTTGAACCCAGATTGGTAAGGGTCAAGCAGACAGTTTTGTGAGAGGTATTCTATGATCTGCTTGAAAGCCACCCTTTCAATGGTTTTGGACAGAAAATGGAGGAGAGAGATAGGTCGGTAGTTCTCCACATGATTTGGAGGAAGAGATGGTTTTTTAGCAGCGGTTTAACCTGAGCATGCTTGAGAGAGGTGGGAAATGTACCGGATGTCAGTGAAGCGTTGATGACATGTCTGACTGCTGCGGCTACTGTAGGAGCAATAGCTTGGAGCAGCTTAGTTGGAATGGGGTCCGGTGGGCATGTAGAAGCTTGGACAGACAGTTCTCAGTGACAGTGGAGAAAGAGGAAAATGAAGCAGTAGGGCCTGAGATGGTTGGGCTAGAAGGAGTTTGTGGTAGTGAATGTTCAGGGGTGGCCAGTTGAGTAAACTGTTTTCTTATCGCTGCCACTTTGTCAGTGAAGAATGAGGCAAAGGTGTCAGCTGATATACTGTTGGCTGGAGGTGGAGACGGAGGGGTGAGCAGAGTTTTGAATGTTGAAAATAGTTTCTGAGAGTCAGTAGAGCTGAGAATTTTGTCAGTGTAGAAAGTTTTATTTGCATCAGTGATGCTGGCAGAGAATGAGGACAGTAATTCATGAAATTTCAATAGATCACCAGGATCTCTTGTTTTGTGCCATTTCTGTTCCGTAGCTCTAAGATTGGTGCGTAGAGACCGGAGGGTATCGTTTAGCCAAGGGTGCGACTGAGAGGATCTAGCCGGTCTAGTGGCTAAAGGACACAAGTTGTTAAGACAAGAGCAGAGTGTGGAGCAGAGAGACTCGGTAGCATCATTCACTTCATAAGCAGAGAATGTGCTGGGAGGTGGAAGAGTGGAGGCAACAAGAGAGGAGAAGTGGTTAGGTGCCAGATTGTGGAGGTTGCGGAGGAATGAGACCATTGGGGAGGAAGCAGTGGACCTCCCTTGTAGAGTCGTGCTGAAATGGATGAAGTAATGATCGGAAAGATGCAGCGGTGTGACAGAGATTGTGTCTATGGCACAGTTTCTGGTGAAAATGAGGTCAAGTGCATTTCCAGCTTTGTGAGTTGGAGGGCTTTGTACTAGTTTTAGATCAAATGATGACATTAGTGACAGGAAGCCTGATGAGCTGGGATTGTCTAGGTGAATATTCATGTCTCCAAGGACCACTGTGGGACAGTTGTGCTCAGGAATGGAGGAAAGCAGGGTTGACCTGGTTGGCGATATATGACAACCAAAAATAATTTTCCCAGTACAATTACCTGGATGGCATGGTATTGAAAGGAGTTGTATTTAGTGATGGGTAGCAACTGACTATATATCCATTTGTTGGAAATGAACATGCCCGTTCCACCACCTCGGCCAGATACACGAGAAGTGTGGGAGAAAGTGTGGTTAACTGAGAGAGCAGATGGGGTAGCATTGTCACATGGTTGGATCCAGGTCTCAGTGAGGGCCAGTGCATCGAGTGACAGGTGGTTAGCATATGCGGTAATGAAGTCTGCTTTGTTTACAGCTGATTGGCAGTTCCACAGTCCCATAGACAGGTGGGCGACTTCGGGGGGAGTTGGTTTTAGCGAGCGGAGGTTTAGAAGGTTGCGAAAGCGGTTTGCTGTGTGTGACCTTCCTCTGATGCTAGTGATCACAGGTATAGGATAATGGTGCATTTTGCTAGGTGTCGATGGAGCAGCGTCTGGGTCGAGCTTGTTTGCTCTGTGGACACGCGCAGGTAGACACGTACGTCTTTACCCCGGAGGGGTGAGACACAAGGGCTGACGCTTCAGTTATGCCACCAAACTTATGCTGTGCTACTAGTTGGAAACAGTGTTCATGGTTGAGACCTAGACGACCTGATGAGTGCTTTCAGGGAGGGGAGAAACGGCTCGTTCACAGCCCCTGATTGCACTCCACTGCCTGTTCACAACTTATTTTCAAAATGACAAAACCTTTCAAATAATTTTATGTTGTTGGGATTCTTTCTCCAAACAATACAACACAAACAATGATATTTTAAATAAAATACAAGCTAAATGTAAAAACTGAAATAACATTTCTTCCTGCTTTCCTTTTCCACATTTTTCTTTTGCTCATAGACGTTGAGTGTTGCTTCAGTCGAGAATAACAGCAGGTAAAATGATGCTTTGCTCCATTTTTGGTCGACAACAACATTAAAATAAGGTTGGAGGTGGTTCTGATTCCTCTTCCTCTGGATCGTCTGATTCATGGATCTGACTGCTGCTGCTTTCGTCCCAGGCGGACGCAGCTTGACACAGCTGTTCCGGTTGGCTGAGAGTGTAAGTCTCAACCTGTGGCTACATTTATGCAATATCAACCGTATCCTGTGCTTTACTACAGCTGGGGATTCATGCATGGCATGATGTTTCATTTGCTTTTACCGGGACACAGCAAATGCTGGAGACTGACTGATAGCCACCATCTAGCAAAGGAAGTATTAATGTTTCCAGACGCCACCTGCAACCCTAACTCTATCTGCCAAAGAAGTGAGTGGGAGTTTATAAGCCAATAAAAATTATTGGCTGATCTTGTTTGGTGTGTATTGATTTCACATACAATGTCTGAATTTTAGACACATGTTGATGCCAGGAAAGAGCTTATTTTCTACAAATGGCAAAAGCTATTTTAGGTTTTGTGTGAAAACTTGTACAGGACTCCAACCGCTCGTCTCATCCAACCGGACACAGAGAAAAAGAAAGAAAAGTTCAGCAATCTTCACATCCTTCTTCCAGGATGACAGAAGGAGCATTAGACGAGAAGACTATAAATCTGGTCGTGGAACGTAGCAGCTCCACTGGGGGGAGGAGATTCTGCTGTGACGTCATATATGACACATCTAATTTGTTATCATTTTATTTACCAATTTTTACAAGCTAATAAATCTCAGATTACATGAAAGACATAGTAGAAACACACAATATTTATCATTAAAATGACGTACAGCACGTTTGATTCAGGGCATGAGGCAAACAGACCAGAAAATAACTTTTATAGTCCCGTTCATGAACCCATGAGGTGACTGGGGCTCCCTAATATGAAAGTATTTTAATTGGTTCTTAAGTGCTGATTATCAGAAGTGTGGACTCGAGTCACATGACCAGGACTTGAGTCAGACTCGAGTCATTATTTTAATGACTTCTGACTTGACTTGATAAAATCAATACTTACGACTTGACTTGGACTCGAACGCCAATGACTTGCGACTTGAATCAACTTGCATCTTTTGACTTGAGCATATTTGATATTTTTGCACAAAAGTGGCCCGACATGGACAAAACTCATAAATGATTCATCGTTCTGGGTGTGACCTTGGACTGCTAAATGCAGCAGCACTTTGTTTATAGTCAGTTTCACTTTCTGCTTGTTTGAGCAAATAAATGAAGCTTTAAGAAACTTTATTTCTGGAATATATTTATTATCATTGTCATTAAATTTAAGTTGGACAGATGAGTTGATTATGACTTGAAAATTCAAAGTTAAGGACTTGGACTTCCACATCATTGACTTTGGACTTGACTTGGTTGTTTTTCAGATTCAGATTCAGATTTCAGATTTATTGGCCAAGTAAAAGTACATTTACAAGGAATTTGTCTTCGGTAGATGTTCGCTCTCTAAAACATACAACAACCACAATAAATGAGAATAAAAATACCTAAAAACACATATGAACATGTATACCCACACACATGTTCATTTACACACACACATATATACATACCCACACACACACACACGCACACACACACATATCCATAAGCATACTGAATAAGTATTAAAAACTATAGTAAAAGGAAGGTAAAATAATCTACAGATTCAGGAGAGAAATGGCTGAAGGAAAGAAACTGTTCTTGTGTCTGGTAGTTTTTGTGTACAGTGATCTATCGCGTCTGCCAGATGGGAGGAGATGGAAGAGAGTAGATGCAGGATGTGTGGCATCTTGGACAATATTCAATATTGTCAAAAACAATATTTTTGACTTTACTCGAGACTTGACTGGAAAGACTTGTGACTTGGCCACACCCCTATTGATTATTATGTCTTTTTAGCTTGAACTGGACGTGTCTGGGATTTCCGTGTGGACCCTGAAGGCAGCACTTGGCCTGTAAACTGTACGCATCTTCTCCGGTTACAGGGGCGGGGCCTGTTTAGTGTAGCTGCTACAGGGACACCAAGATGGAAATGCAGGGGCTTTCTGATGCTCCCAACATTCGCTCTCAACATGGCGGCCTGCACGGGGCCCCTTCAGCAACACTCCAGTCCTTGCCTCGTTTTCTTAACGCCAAAAAGGAAACGGACAGGCATCCGGGTCCGCCCGAGCCTCAAAATGAAAACCACAACGCCAGATCGAAGACATCACCGTCCCGCCTGCTGGCAGAAAATGGCAGCTATTCGCCTGTCTGCAAAACCCAGTCGGGGACTAGCGTCACCCTCTCGGATGAAAGAGCTGTTTTGGGACTGCATCACTTGAACGCAGACAAAGAAAGTGATCTAAATGCGCTTCTTGTTTCGCACGAGCTCAACAGGACAGGCTGGAAATACGACGAGAGCGGGGACGCCGTCCTGCAAATGGCGCTGCCTCTGTTCGAGGGGGAAGAGGACCTGGTGCCGCAGCGGCAGCTGGCGTTGCCTTGCCCGGCTTTACACCAGCAGCCTTCTGTAGCGAGCAACAGCGCTGCCGCTTCTAGGAGCTCGACCTCCGTCAGCAAGGCCGCCAAACGCACACAGGACCTGCTGGTTGTCTTTAACGCTCTTCACGACGATGGGCTGGCCGAGACCAGCAGACGTCTGTCATGTGACTTCGGCGGAAGTCAGGTGAAAGCCGAAGACGCGGGGAGCTCCAAGGCCAGTCGCCTCGGCCCCATGGAAGGAGTCGGCGTCCCGTTAAGCGAGCTCAGCCCGGCCTGTCCTCACACACAGTCCGCGAAAACGGATTCTGCGCTCAGCTTCATTCCCGAAGGTTCTGCCGTGATAAACGTCGAACACGTTGTGTTAACGAACAAGTATGGCGATAAGATGTGTGGGCAGATTTGTACCGACGCGGGCGACAGGAAGCTGTTGAGAGAGCTGACTGGAATCGATGAAAACATCGCGTTGAGTTCCGAGGCGGCGGGCGTCGTGGAGGCTGTGGAAGAGTCGGATCATGCCTGTAACCCCGGTACCGACCCGGTCCCTGCCAGTGACACCTTCTCCGGAACCATCACGATAAACAACCAGAGCATAGTAGTGACCATAGAGAACGGAGTGTTGACTCTCGCTGCGCCTCCTGACGGACATGTCCGTAAGGACGATGACCTGGTGAGCCTAAAGGAGCACCTGGGCATGAAAGACCATGAGGACATCGTTCTTCTCAACTATGACAGTGGCACCAAGTCAATCGGGAAGATCAGCACCCTCGCTGTAGCTGGTCCTCAGCAGCAGGAAGAGCCCAGACCGGTCAGTGACTCGGAACTGACTCTGGTGGATGACAGCTCGTTTTCAGAGCTTTCGTTTGATTCCTGTCCCATAGTGAAACAGGAGGCAGGGGCACTGTGCACTTTGACAGAGATCGATTTGGTCACTTCGTTGCCCAAAGGCACCATGGCAGAATGTGACAATGCCAACACAAGCCCTCTACCACTAATCAGGCCAAAAAAAGACACCGTGACCCCCTTTGACTGTCCTGAACCAGGCTGCTCATGCACATTTGAGTCTCGCCAGAAACTTAAGGTCCACCTTCTGAACCACACCGAGGACCCGCGGCCTTACCAGTGCATCGTGGAAGGCTGTGGGTGGGCTTTTGCTACCTCGTACAAGCTGAAACGACACCTGCAGTCCCACAACAAGCAGCGACCACACATCTGCCAGTTTGAGGGCTGCGGGCGGCGGTTCACCACCGTCTACAATCTTAAGGCTCATGTTAAAGTCCATGAGCAGGACAACGCCTTCACTTGTGAGAGCTGCAGTGAGAAGTTCCGCAGCATCACACGCCTCACCAATCACCAGAGGGTACACTTTGAACCACAGAGACCCCATAGGTGTGAATATCCAGGTGGGTGCTGCTGCTTACATTGATGCTAACCAGTATTAGCACTAACACTCCTTTCCTCCACAGGCTGTGAGAAAACCTTCATCACATTCAGTGCCCTGTTCTCCCATAACCGCACTCACTTCAGAGAAACGGGCCACTTCGCATGCACTTACCCCGGATGTGACAAGACCTACGACAAGGCGTGTCGGCTTAAAATACACACGAGGAGTCACACAGGTAAGCCGATCGTACGTTAAGGTTGTCCTGAAGGTGCCACTCGTGTTTTGGGACGTTGCACGGATCTGTTTTATTGTTACGTTCATGTGGGAAAAGTAGGGATGCACCATTACCAGATGTTCACTATTCCAAGTCTGACTGCTTACTGTTGGGTACTTTTAATAGCAAGTGCAGAGCACCATAAAGGCCACTGACCCACAGTTGGAGGACTTTAGTCCCTTGTTTCAGAAAGTGAAGCACATATATTACGTTACCTTTTAATGTTGTCCGACCACAAACTTGAATGGTTTGACATTATGACGAGTGTGCCGCTTCTCTTTAACTTGCCAAAGTAAAAAATATGAAAGGTATTCAACAAAATGTGTTTCATCAAACTATGAATCATCAATATTTAGGGCTGCAACTAACGATTATTTGGATCGTCGGATTAAACAGGAAAATGAAACTTCTAGGGGAAAAATTTTCTCTCTTTTTTAAAATTTAATATATTTCATTAATATTTCAGGAGTAAGCTACTGGAAATGCTAATAACATTTAATTTCTACTGCGATTACGTACGGGTTAACAATGATGCAGTTTAAATTATGTTTACAGATAGATGCATTTAAATGCTACAGTGGCTTGCCATATACCTTCAGCGGTGTTGGGCAGAGCGGACTCGAAGCAGTAGAGCCTGTGGTAGGTACCCTGTGGTACTCCACAATTAACCCTGGAGGACAAAGAAGATTGGTCCTGTTCATTAACGATATCATTGGTCAGTCATTACTTTAAAGCATTCAAGTCTCGTTGTTCTATAATTGTTCTTAATCAGTAAAGTATGACAATAGCGTATGATTATTACGGTTCGAGTCCTGTCTGCTCCTGGACTCGTCTGGTGACCCGCAGCAGAGAGGAGCTTTGTTACGGCGCTTCTCCAGGCGGCGAGGCTGGCCGTAAACGGAGTGTTTGGTTTGGAGAGCTACTGTTTCTCCGTCATATGAAGATGGCTGGACAGCGTAATGCCTGATTACACGCCTTTCTTAACGCTAATCTAATAATTTTCTGATAAATTCCGTTAGTTTATTAACGAAGCAGAGGGAACTGTCTATTCTCATTTTCTGAATTTTGCAGAAAATCATAGATTTTCCCCCCAAATTATTTCAGCCTGGGGGGGGGGAGACACACGTCCAGCCCTATTAGGGCTACAGATAGACACCAGCCCGGGTCTGAAGCCGGGTTTCCACGGTCTGGACCCGGTGTAGCTTACCAGAACTTCTCCGCCTCCCTGGGCCGGTCCTACGGGCTGTTTTCAGGAACTTGGACAGGTGTACTTGGAATGGCCAGGATAAGATGCTGAGCAACACTTTAGGTTAACTCATGCTGATTGGTTGTAACTCAGTAGCAAATGACATCATCGGACACCGATGCAGGTATGAGTGCTACCGGCTATGTGATCTGGGAAAAATAACAGCGAGTTAATGTAGACAAATCATTTTTGACTTTTTCCAGAGGAAAACCCCCAGAAGGCCTTGCAGCCCAGCGTGTGTGATTTTAACTCACAAGCTAAGTAGTGAGGCAAAGACTGAAGACCAGAGAGGTCCAGTTGTTGACACGGGGGCTGGACACAAACGCATTCCCTCCTTTCAGATTTTAAAAATGAGGAAACCGTGTAATTGTTTCATTCCACTTCCCAATGAGGCAGCCTTGTATCGGTCTGTCACAGAGTACTATTACAAGTTACCTTCTTGTGAAACCAGCTGCACTTGTTAATGACCCCGGTGGAAACTCACCGATGCTTAAAACCGTCGCGCCTGAAGCATTACGACGACAAACTACAGTAGTTATAAAGGCACACTAACATGTCACTGGACCAAAAGGACCAGTGACATGTTAAATCATTTCCCACTAACATCAACATCCCATTAAAAAAAATTTCTACTTTGTCAACAAATCCAATAGTAATGGGCTCGACACACGGGAGGCGACAAACGACCGCGATCAGCGAAATTTGTCGCTGTCGCTTTTATTACCTGACACACGGGAGGCGACCCGCGGCAGCGGCAAAGCCGTCTACGCGTTCTGTTCCATGGCGAAATCGAAACCTCTGTTGTTTTGATTGGCTGTGTCAGGTTGGAGGGAATTAAGGTGATTTAAGCGGTTCAGAGTTAATAAAGCGGTAGATATGATGTTTCACAAGGTGCTGCTAGAGTTATGTGAAATCTTACTTCTGATTTTACTATAAAACATCATAATAATCAACTTCTCCTCCATGTTTGCTCGGAGGTGTACGGAGCATCCTGTCCGCTCATTGGTCAGTGAATGAAACCTCCGTTGATTGGTCCTCGCCCGAGCGACAGCGATGAAAAGTTGAAAATATTTCAACTTTCTGGGATCGCGTCGCCGGGTCGTCCGTGCACGGCACGTGCACGAGTGTAAACTTTCACACGCACGTTTTTCGCGTTTCGCTTGGTAGGAGGGAGACCCGCGATTATCGCTTTGTCGCGCATGTCTCATTGAAAATGAATGGAGGAGAGGCGATGTCGCCTCCCGTGTGTCGAGCCCATTCAGAGAAGTGGCATCACTGACGTTGATTCTGAGAGAGAAGCCTAATCTTAGTTTTAACCAGGGCTGCAAGGTAAGGTACTTGCTGTTGTGTGAGGAAGATGCTGTTCACGGACGTGCTAGTCTAGGTGCTGTGGAGGAAAACCGAGAAACCAGCTAATGCTAGCAAGCAGCAGGCTCACGATCATCTGAAGAAACACGAAGGCTGTGAAACTAAGATGATCTAATCTCTACAAGCAGAAGAAAAGTCCCCATCACTCTGTTTATCCTAGCTGTCTGCAGCGCTACGGAGCAGCAGCCGGGTCGCTGCTGCTTCAAGTCTGCTCCATACGCTGCAGCAGGGTATGGCAAGTCACTGTAGCATGTAATTCACAAAAGTGTCTATCTTCAAGCATAATTTAAACTGGATTATTGATAACTCGTACATAATGAATATGTCACCAGTACGTGTTTTGTAGAAATGAAATGTTATGGGCTCGACACACGGGAGGCGACATCGCCTCTCCTCCATTCATTTTCAATGAGACATGCGCAACAAAGCGATAATCGCGGGTCTCCCTCCTAAGAAAAACGCAAAAAACGTGCGTGTGAAATTTTGCGCTCGTGCACGTGTCGTGCACAGGCGACCCAGCGACGCGATCCCAGAAAGTTGAAATATTTTCAACTTTTCATCGCTGTCGCTCGGACCAATCAACGGAGGTTTCACTCACTGACCAATGAGCGGACAGGATGCTCCGTACACCTCCGAGCAAACATGGAGGAGAAGTTGATACGTGCTGTGACGGATTTCCCAGACCTGTACAGTATTTCTACCAAAGAATGTAGAGATATTCAGAGAAAGGCCGCGGCGTGGGAAGTTGTTGGTGCCAGAATTAACACGTCAGGTAAGTGTGAAACGTTTTTGTAAGTTTATCTCGTGCAATAGCAGACCTAACGAAAACATTTATGTATTTGACATACAATCTAATCGTTCAAATCAAAACAACGGAAGATTCTATTTGGCCATGGAACAGAACGCGTCGATTGCTTTGCCGCTGGCCTCTGCCGCGGATCGCCTCCCGTGTGTCTGGTAACAGAAGAGACGCGACGAATTTCGCTGATTGTGGTCGTTTGCCGCCTCGCGTGCATCGAGCCCATTATCCAGTAGCTTACTACTGACCATGTTACATGAAGTACATGAAGTTTAATTTGGATACACTTATAAATATGTTCTTTTGACTGAGATGAGTGACATGAATACAAACTGTTACTGATATGTAGGTCGATTTTGTTTAATAAAATATCAACTAAACATCAGATGGGAACTACACACCAATGTAACACATATTATGGAGCCTTTCATAACAAAGTCTGACACTTCAGCCTCATAGTTGCTTTATTTCATATTTTTAGCAGCAGACCACGGTCGTCTCACTAGAAACATGTTAGGTGGAATATTTGATTAATCAGAAGATTTAATAGAATATTCAAAAACTAAATTATCCAATGGCTGCAGTCCTATTTTAAATTTTAACAGAACAAAAAACAAAAACACGACCAGCACCAAACCAAGGGACGTCTGAGAGGGGAAGAGTTTTTATAAAACACGGCGGTGTTGTACCTGAACAAGTTCATCCTATGATCTAGGGCTGCAGCTATGGAATATTTTTGTAATGGAGTACTCTAATAAATGAGCCTTTTGTGTTTGTAAACCATTATATCAAACGGCATGTTATAAAACATGAAAGACCTCTTAAAATGAACAAGCAGTTGCCAGTTATTCTTCAAGTTTTATTCAAAATTAGTTTTCAAACCTTCAGCTCTTCAACTTTACTTCACAGTAAACAAACGCCTGAGTAAACAACCTGAGCCCGTTTTCCCCTCGTGTGAGAATCTACGAGCCCGGCGAGCCAGACAGAAACTAGGAGGATAACTGTTGGAGTAGCGCTGCGAGCGGCTGCGGCCCAAGCAGAACCAGAACCGCTCACGGCGCATGCGCAAACATGGCTCACCAGCTGTTTCCCTACTAACACACGTCCGTTTTAATTTCTACACTTTTTCTCACACACACTAACGAGGATTGTCGAGAAAGCATGTTTGCCGTGGTTATGTCCAATTATACTGATCACAAAACATTTATTTACTGTTTTTGTTTTCCTCCATAAATACCCGCGTCCTCCTGCAGCGATCCGAGGGACAACAACATCAATAACAACACAGTAAAAAGTCCGACATGTTGTGTAAAAACTGCTATTTTTAGCACGTTTTTAGGTCCGACGTGTTGCTAGCAGACGCACCGTGTGAGCTGAAACTGAGCGCTACAAACGAAAAAGTCGCACCGTGTTCGCAGAATGTATAGCGGACCTCCGAGTCCGCTTGCAGAAGTGACTTGTGGATGTTTCCTGGTCAGGTGCTGCAGCATGGAGGACGTGGTGTTGTGGTAGGATAAATCCATTTTACAGTGTTTACACTGGACTACG